ATGATAAAATCATCCCCAAAACGGGGTTTTATATACAAATTCCGAATCCACTTAAATTCCGTTTCCACTTACAACATTTACATGAAATTTAATAAAACTTACTGGAGTGGAGAACAGTTCGATAATCAAAGCCGAGAATAATCTAGTTCAATATAAAACGGGCATATAAATAAAATTTAGCTCGGTTTACACATAATCGTGTATTACGAGAAACCAAAAATTATACGGATCCTTAAAACTAGACAGTACTACATAAAGGTTGGCAAGTATTCCTCAATATACCATTTTCGGTAGAAATTGCTATTGTATATGCATTGTGACCAACGTGTAGGATTTGTAAGATACTAATGTACTGGGCGTACAGAATATTTTAATACTGATGTTGGCTACACTAAGGCTGGCGAACAATAATAGCACTGCATCTGGTCCGTTAGTATTGTACGTTCGGATACACGAATTAATAAAGTAATAGATTCCGTATAGGGCAAAATCTCATTAATGTATTCCAAAACTATAATCAAACAGACGAGTTGGTTTTATCTCAAATTTGGCCAAAAAGCGCAGAACTTTAATAATTTAGACACAACTTTGAAATGTAAATATACATATGATATGACGACATTACAGTGATAATAGATATCGATATATATTTCGACATAAATAAATATACGTATAAGAAGCCAGTGTTAACCAGTGTTGCACCAATCGGAGATCTGGTTGAAGTTTGCGTATAAATTAACCAGTAAAATTCGCATTTTTATTTTTTTATTTGGCTACATATTGCTAAGATCACAAAAATGTGTGCTTAATAGTAGCACGGCAGCAACTCTTTATATTGAATGGTTTTGTTTATTTTTGGACGGAAAAGAAACGTTTTTTTCTTATCAATGTTCCGTTAATTTTGATAGTAATCACTCTTTTGTTACTATTTTTCTGTCAGGCCATTTTTAAATTGTAAATTTATTCATCTTATGCAATCAAACAAAAAACTTTCATAATTCCCGTTTTACATATTACATACTTTCTTTTTTTTCACTATCGCAAGATTTGGCCCTGCTTTCTAACGCTTATTCCATTCCTTTTTTTTTTTTTTTATGATAAAAAAAATAAATCTCATTCTTTTTAGATGAAAATATTTAGTATATAAAAAACGCACAGTTTATAAAAAAAATCAATTATACAATAAAATTTAATCGATATGAACGGTGATATTAGACTAATACTTTCTTTGATCGGTAGAGTTAGCCGCAAGGTTAGCATTAGATTTATATAAATGGTAAAATTCTTTTGCCATTATACTGATTCTTTTTTTTTCTTCGATCCAATCGTTTGAATCGTAAAGTTACCGTGTAACAGTGGTAAAAAACTAGAAATCTTAGAGCAAGATCCGCTTATCCTGCAGACTGTTAATGCCATTGTAGAATTATCCCGATTTAAACTTGGTACAATAGCCAATAATCTTACACAGCTTTTGGATGATGTTTCGCAGGTAATAGCGTAATAAAATCTTTATATTTTTCTTTTTAATTATTAAAAACATAACGCTTATTTTATTTTCATTATCTTTGATTTCATTTGTTTTAAAAGACAACGACTATAATATCTGATATCCCCACGGAAGTCTTACAATCCCAATTATTTATTCTAAAAATCTTATCTGCTTGTACTACTCACCATTGGAAATTTTACCGAGGAACTTTACAAAAAGAAGTGGATACATTGCCAAAAAACTCTCCAGAAATTTCCCCAACCTCTCCAACTGTACATAATGAAATTCCACCCGTAACTAATGATCAACAACCCGCTCCTCTTACCTCTAATTATAATGGCAATGCAAAAAGCTTCAGACCCCCAAAATCTTGGGATGATCCGCCACAGCTAGAAGAAGCTTTGGCAACTTACATTTTAAACGTTTTATCTAAATTTCTTATTTTAATGGCTAGTCACGATGATGGTATCCCAGGTGGTGGGGCCACGATTGTTGGTGCTGCTGAAATTATTAGTGAGATTTATAAAAACGCTGGGAGGGTTATTTTTTATATCAGCGCTTCAAATTGGAATGTGGTTTTTTCGAGAATTAAAAATAGAATTTCCCATTTAGCTGCTGCTAATGATAATACGACTGAAGCTGCTGAGTTGAGATTGTTGGAAGTCTCTGATCTTAATTCAAAAAGATTATCTATGGTACTACAAGGTATCTTTTTCAACTTTATCTTATAATTTCTTTGTGTATATTATTTATATTACATGTTTATTAAATATATATATATAATATATATATATCTATATTTTTATAGAATTATGTGATTCTATAAGCACTTTAAGGAAACCTGCTCAAGTTGTAATGGCTACTGTACTTCGTAAAGCTATTTGGAACTGGATCGAAGTATTCCCTGCTGAATTTGTTACTTTGTGTCAAACCCAA